ACCTAGAGCTTCACCTCAACTCACAATGCTTCTGGTCCTGGAAAGAGGTCATACTTGTGACTTCACAACATTTGTTCTGCTCAGAGTTGGTCCCTTTCTTTCCTGGTTCACTTTATGGATTAAGAAAACATATCAACCACGAAACAACGTGCAATTTTGGTTTGTTAACACAGAAAGGACAAGGTCAACCTCCACTTTTGCAGTCCTACAGTAAGGATTTGTTCACCACCAAATTTGTACATGCTAATGACAAACACCCAGTGGGCATTTCAGGTATTATCACCAGCACAGCTGAAATTTAGGTAATTCTGTTGACCAGTTTCTGTATCTGATAATTAAAAATTCAACTCACCTGTAGATACTTCAGAAAAAAAAGGCTTTCTGGTTTCAAAACAGAAGCTCAGCAAATAAAATCATCTGTGACAACACTCATTGGAAACAAAATCCACAGGGTGAAAATAAGGCTGGAAAGGATGTGTGAAGGGTTTTGATAGAGATTTCAATATTAGGATATCAATGCCTGGAGACCACGACTTGCAATGGATTTACCATGTTTGCTTTCTTGTTTCAGGCCAGAGAGAGTTTATGTGTCTGAAATACAAATTGGTGCCTTTACTGGAAGAGCTGTCAAGTGAAAGGATCACACAAATTGTTTTTAGGGCATCTGTGTCACAAGCACAACTTGGAACTCGAAGTCTGCAGTTAAAAGCTTTTTCCTCTAAATGAATAGTTCTCCTCCCTGGTGCTCTCACCATTCTGTGAAATTATTTCCCTATTAAAAGGACAAAGAAAAAAGATTTGGGAATACTTAATAAAACAACCCTTTTAGTAAGCAGAAACTTGGATTATTAGATATGGTCAGGTATTGTGGTGCAATATGTTTCTCTAATTAGAGCTCATCTGAAATTCAAGTACCTATGTAGTTAATTAATGCAGTTCATGCTCAAAAGAAAGAAATTAATTATTCATCCCAAAAGAAAACAGGAAAAAAAAAAAAAGTCAATATAAACAAATTCGGCAATCAAAATTTCAAATATTAGAGTGAATTTATTTTCATTCTTTCTGCCTCCATGGAAAGTTCAGGCATGCAATGGTTAGAGAAACACAACTGAAAAGCTTTGGGGACCATTGTTTGTAACCTTTAGGTTCAGACAAACCCACGTCCCTCCCAGGAGAAAAAAACTGCTCTGTGTAGTTCTTAAAGCCAGTGCACGTGTTTCAATTAAAAAAAAAACCTAAAGAGATGTTTTCTTTACATTCATGCTGTCTCAATCCTTTTAGTTGGCATTGACTGAATCTCACACATAAACCAGCTTTTCCTGAGGACAAAGTCTGTACTGCAGGCTGCATCATTTTTAATCAAAGACTTTGACTTCCAAGCCTGTGAATTTGATTTTCATAAACTAAATCAGAGATCTTTCAATGTACACCAACATCTAAAAGCAAGATGCCTTACAAACATAGTGAGTCAGAGAATTGCAGAAGAAAACAATACTGAATATAAATTTCAGTTGAAGCTCTTATTGCCTGAGTTGAGTTCTGAAGTTTGTGGCAAACATACATTTGATTTCAGGAGGGGAAATAGTGAAATAGTCAACACCCTGACTTCTAATTGTTCTGAAAGATCTCCTGGCAAAAAAGAGAAAACTAAAAAGAGTAATATATCATTTTACTACAATAGTCAGACTTTGGAAGACACGTTCTAAGAGCTGTTTTCGTGAAAAACAACATGTAATTTGAAAAGCAGCAGAAGTTCACATTAAAAAGCAGGAAGAAAAAAAATCTAACGAAATATTATAAATCAGGGTGATTTTAACATTAATATTTCACTCTCAAATTCACAAAGAACAAGATTTGCAAAGCTTTATATTACATTTTGCTCAAAAAAAGATGTAATAGACTAATTGTGAAGAAGATAATATACAGAAATATGAATACATGCATTATTCAAATCAAGGTGCAAATCTGAATAGCAGACAAGACTTTCCTACATATACTGATTATATTAATAGCTCTTTGAATAGCAGCTGTATGAATAGGGTTGCATAAAATCAAATTTAACTGAAGCATAATTTGGCATACTAAAGGTGCCACAAAAGAGATACCTGTAATTTGCAAAATTTTTTCCTTTAAAAGTGTAAAATATTCCTCTCTCATCATGTTTTTAAGATTATGAGCTCAGAACTTTATGAACACCAGATTTCATTAAATCCCCTACAGACTACCTGAAGTCTCTGCATACAGAGAAAAATGGTGGTGTTTTGTCCTGAATAGAGTAGTAAGGCTGAAAGTAAAGTAATTAGTGAAACCACATTAATTTACTACACAAATCACTGCAGAAAGTGAGAGGTATTTATCATGCTTTATAAGGCAGCGTGATTTTCATGTGACAAATTATTCATGGCTATCAGGAAAACACAAATAATGCCCTAAACTGGGTAGCAGAACCATTGGAAATAGTGTTTGCTGTGAGAACACAGAAAAAATTAAGATATATTGACGTACTTTATTGCAGCAAACGCCAGTAAAATTGCAACCACTGTTTAAATCTTAGGTCTGAAATAAACTCCACAAAGACAGGTCACTATGGCAAAAGACAGCTCTGTGCAGAATTAGAGCTTCAGAGATTACTTTTATTTCACTATTTTATCAGTTTAATGAGACAAATTATCCCTTGGGGATAAATTGATTGAGCAACATTAATTTCTCAAAATAAAATGAATGGCCCAAACAGCAGGGGTTATCTGCTACAGGCAACATCTCATGCATTATTTTATAATACAGCTCTTCCAGAGTACTTTTTTATAAAGAAGGAATTCTTTATAAATTATTCTATATAAATCATTTCAATTTATTTTATAATCAGTAACGTGTTGGTTACTAACATCAGTGTACATAAACATTTCCACAAAATTTGATATTTGACTTTTATATAAAATAATTCAAAACCAACGGGAAATTCTTGACATTTCCTTTTTCCTTTTCACCTGGAACTTTACAGAATAAACCATATGGCTCCCAACATTTTAACCCTTCATTACCTTGAATATATCAGTTAAAGTAACCCTGTACAAGAGCTGAGTGTGCTCAACTGCAACAGAAGATTGTGGGCTCAGATTTGCAATTATCAAACAATAAGAAATGCCAGACCTTGTGCTCTCTGTCCTAAAACTACACTCCCTTCACAAAATAATATATCCTCAAGGCCCCAAAAGAGCAATGTCTAAAATTTAACCACCTCCTTCAAGTTTCTTTACTTTCAAGTTTTACAGAAAGTGACGTGTTCTTGTAAAATTATGCAATTTTACTTCTCATAATTGGGTTAGTCCAAATTTTTCTGTCTGTATTTCTATTTACATATATTTTCTATCTAATTTCTGCATACAGAAATTGATAACAATCACACCTGTTTGAAGATAAATATAGATTTCAGCCCACACTGGTGATGAGGTACAATGAAGAGAAATTTTGATACCTTGAACTTCTAAAATACCCTAAAATATATTACCTCCATACTGCTCTGTGCCACTCATTAAATAGGAATATCTATATTATGTGAAAGCTTGTCCTTAAACCAGAGATACAAGAGCAAAACATTCACAGCAGCATTTATAAAACTGGAGATTATCCCCATTTCAAAGATCACTGGATGGTATTTATAAGATCTTCATGCAATATTTCCTAACTAGAGAAAATATTCACTAATTGTTAACAGGTGCAAAAAACTGAAGGGGAGTTTGGAAGCCTTCCTAAACAACCTAGTAAAGAGAATGAGGACCTGCTCTCTCCATGATGCTTCAAACTCTCATGGTTTGAGACCCAAAAATAATCATTGACATAGAACATGTGAAATTATTGGCATAGGTTTTATTTTAAAGAGATGTCTGCGAGACAGTGAAAGACATTTTCCTCAGAAGAAAAGTAACTAGGAAGTGACTTAGAAAACAAAGTTTTGTAATAATTATTATTTTATACTCTTATGCAAATATAAAAATACTAAAAAGCTAGGACACCTTCCCAGGTCAGACCCCACATTCTTGTTTAATTTCATTTTCTATATTCTCAGATTTATTAGTAAAAAATTAGCAGTTAAACGCTTATGTACAATATAATTGGAAATCCTAACATCTAAAAGCAGTTTAATGTATTTTCCAGGGTTTAGTCATGCACTGTCATCCAAACCATGAGTGTCTGTGACTTTACAAGAATTATCTCTAGGTCTGAACACCCTCAATTCCTCCTGTGTTTCCACATTGAAAAAAAAACACAGAAAAGAGGGGAATTCCGTAAGATTTCAAGAAATCATTTAGCATATGCAAAGATCAACTAGTCCTAGACTGTAGTCTCCAAAGCCAACTCACAGATATTATTCAAATATATTAACAGGAATCAAAATTAACATTTATTTCTCCATCCACAGCTCCTACTGCAATAATATGGCATCTGAATAAAGCAGCAGCTTCCTACTTCAAGCATTTCTACCCTACTTACTCACCTCAGTAATATCCAGACAGAATGTCCTGTGGCTCAAAGGCAAACGAGTCTTTTCATTCCAAGATCTTACTTCTCATCTTTTAGAGGATTTTTTATTTTTTTTTTGCTGAATTTGCATCCTAAAGAACCAGAGTAACTTATTCCCAGCTTTGTCTACACAGCAAAGACAATGTCCAAGCCAAACTGTAAGAAAACCTGAGGCTTTGGGTTTTTCTCAGCTTTTTGTGTACATGAATACACAGGGACAAAAGGAAAACCAGGGAACTGCAGCACAGAGCTAGGTAGTTCCTCAACAAGTTTATAAACCTCTCCAAAGAGATAAAATAATCCAAACTCCTTGTTGAGTTCTGTCTAAAGCTTTTCAGAATATGGATATATCAAAGTGTCTGTACAATAAAAAATACATCATTTTCATAAAATTTCTGTATAAATATATCACCTTGACACGTCCCTCACAGCGATTTCTGCGTGCAAATTAAATTTTTTAAACGTGCAGCTGTCGAAACTTTGGGTTTCTCTTCATGTTTTTATTAGAAACCTTCCTTTGCAAAAGGAAAGCCTCAGACGAGAACACTTTACACAGAGCACCCTGAACTCATCTCCATAAAGTTACTGATGGAAATATTTGCAAATCACTTTGTATTTTCAAACAGGGATTGATGGAGTTGCACAGTTCTCATTCCAGTCGTCCCTGCTTGGCATCTCCTATCGCTCCCCACACGTCAAAGACAAATTCATCCGGGAAGGCAAAGTCTCCAAGAGTTTCATCCAAGGCCACCGCGAACTCGTCGGGGTTTTTCTTGTCTCTTCCAGCTTCCACAATGGTTGCAGCTGAAGAGCAACAAAACAGAATAATGGGATCAGCATCAAAGTGGCAGCTAACACACAGGGCCAAGGCAGGTTTTGAACGTCTGTTTTCACAACCTGGCAGGGTCAGCTTAAGGAGAAGCAAAGTTTACCTGCTGAATTTGGGATTTGAGGGAATTTATGTGCTTAATTCCCCCCACACTATCTACTTGTTGCTCTGATTGACAGGAGAGCTTCCTCGGAGTGCTCTGTATACATTCTTCTGTTTGTTTGGCAGAGATTTAATTTTTAATTCAATGACCTTTCATTTTAATGTTATTAAACTGTATCCTGTATTCATTACAAGAAGCGTGGGCCTAAAAACAAGGTTAAACACAACCCTCGTGTGACAATGAGACCCATGCCAGGTCATCACCAACTCCACCAAGTTTGATATGACCTTGCTGATCTAAACCAGAAGATCAGAAGGCAAACTTGAGTGTTTTTCTCCTCTAAACAACACAGAACAGATCTCAGCAAGTTAAGAGTTTAAAGTGGCCAAGCTTTTCACAGAAAGCCAAAAGGCACAGGGTTTAAACATGGAAAACAACACACAGTCTGCAAAACAGGCACATGCAACCAAGCCAGGATGGGTTTGCTAGCAACAGTCTGTGTTTTACAAGTCTAAATGTTCAAATGTTGAGTATGACCTGCATTTAAAAAGGAGTATTGGCAAATGAGCCTAGAGAAAACACTTGAGCACTTGGAATATTTTAGGAAGCGAGAATCCAAATGTGGCTCAACTAACGTGTTGTGTAGAATACAAAGAAAATTAAAATCTGATTTGCTAGGTATTGGACACAGTGTTTTTGCAACTGCCTGAAAGAGGTTGTGTCCTCAGGAAACTATGGTACAACCTCAAGCAGATTTGCTTAATTTTTCAACGTAATTTCATTTAATTTTTAATTAGCTTATTTTTGTCAACAACAAAAATCCCCCAACCAAACCAAACCAAACCAAACCGAACCAAACCAAACCAAACCAAACCAAACCAACCAAATGCACAAAATAAAGCCACAGCACCTCCAGGTAGTAAAGAGGCTGAGGCATTTATTGTGGGCCACATTACTGTCCTGCTTGGATCCACATTTTTCCACATCATTCCAAACTAAGGAGCAATTAATTTCAGTGCACGAGTTTGCTTCAGTTATTATTACCTCCAGCTTTGAAAATCATATTTAACTTATAGTGCCCTAGAGGCTGGGTAAGTTTTTGCTTTTGCCTCTGGAAAGTGAAAAGGTTATTTCTGAAAGTCTCAATCGGGTGGTTCAAACTGTGCAAAAGCAAGGGAAAGGCCTGTAACCAGAGCCAGCAAAGACCAGGAACATCCTGGTATCCAGGAAAATGAAAGCAGAGGTCTGATATGACAGAGCCAGACTGTGATATCTTAAAGCCTCCCTGATAAAAAGGAAAATAAACTTTCCCTACTCTGTAGTTTTAATAAATTTCTTTGATGTTATTTTGATGACCTGAAACTCAGCTCATCGACAGTTATAAACTTCTGCCAAACAGTATTTGCTGTTGTGCAAACTTGTAACAAGCTGTAAGCAAGCCTGAGCCATATTCCACACTGTAAACATCAACAACTGGAGTTCTGAAGAAACCTGAAGTTTTGGGTTTAACTGTGTTCAGACATGAAGCTCCAACCACAATCACAGTGTGCCAAACTACACAGAGCAGTCCAAGGAAAATATCTGTAAATCTTGACAAATAAACTGCTGTGATGGAGACAGTTCAAGTGTAACTCAGCTTGCCAGGCACCACCAGTGGTTCTCAAGGACTCTCAAGATCTCTTTCCCTGCCAGATGAAACCCTGTCCCTGTTGCATTGATTCTCTCTGCGTCCCCTGGGAAGTTCCTGGGACTCTTGATTCAGACAAGTCTGGATGGGAAATGGGCATTAAACAGGGGACTCTTGCTCCTGACAAGTGGAATATGAGGATTTGTCCTATCAGCTCATTATTGTCCTATCAGCTTATTCTCTGACATCATGGCATAAAAAGGTACTTATAGAGAAGAAATCCTGGAGATAACGAGGTGAAGAGTGTAATTGAAACTTCACAGATTTCTGGATACAAGGCAGGATATGAACTTACTCTGGATAGACAGTGGGAGAAAGTCAGAGAGAGACGAGCTGTGCAAGGTGACACGAGACCAAACATGGCAAGATATAGTTACACAAAATACTTTAAAAAGCTGCCGTGAACACAGTAAGCATCTAGACAAGTGTTTAAGCAGAGGGGGAACAAAGAATTTAGCCAGTTTTAAGATAAACTGGTCAAGAGACATGAAAGAGCCACATAACAGTGACAGCAGATAAAACAAGACCACCCAGCACTGCATCACAGTCCAACTGCCCCAGCTGAGGCCTCAGAACTGCACAGTAAAAAACTGCCATTAACAGCAAGTGTTACTTCAAACACAGTATTCCTTTAAAGGCTGAGTTTCCCAAACAAAAAACCAGAATTTAAAAACTAGCTTATACTTGAAAACAAAATCCACTAAACACAGACAATCAGGACAACTTTCAACTTAGCCAAGAAAGAACCAGAACGTCACTGCCATGCTAAAGCCTCAAACCAAAACAGCTTCATCTCGAGTGCTGTGTCCAGCTCTGGGCTCTCAGCTCAGGAAGGACATGGAGGGGCTGGAGCAGGGCCAGAGAAGAGCAACGAGGCTGGGGAAGGGACTGGAGCACAAGTGCTGTGAGGAGAGGCTGAGGGAGCTGGGGGGGCTCAGCCTGGAGAAGAGGAGGCTCAGGGGAGACCTCCTCACTCTCTGCAACTCCCTGACAGGAGGGGGGAGCCGGGGGGGTTGGTCTCTTTTCCCAGGCAACCATCAGCAAGACAAGAGGGCTGGGCCATGAGCTGTGCCAGGGGAGGGTTAGGTTGGATATTAGAAAGAATTTCTTTGCAGAGAGGGTGCTCAGCCATTGGAATGGGCTGCCCAGGGAAGTGGGGGATTCTCCGTCCCTGGAGGTGTTTAAGGACAGACTGGATGTGGCATCAGTGCCATGGGCTGGGAACCACAGCGGGGTTGGATCAAGGGTTGGACTTGATGATCTCGGAGGTCCTTTCCAACATGGTTGATTCTTTGACTCTATGATCTGCATTGAGCAGCCGCAACCAGCGCTACCGGGGCACGTCTGACGTGCTGTAATTATCAGGGCACACTCCCATCGCCAGGTCCAGCCGCTGGAATGCGATGTTCATGGAATGCCGGTTCCGCGGGAGGCTGCAGGGCCGTGCCTGCGCGTTCGGCAGCGCGGTGCTGACCCCCAGTGCCGGCGGGGCCGCACTGCCGCGCATCCCGGGAACAGATCCCTCAGGAATTCCAGGCACCCCGTGCCAAGCTGATCCCCGCCTCACTCCTTCCATGCATCCAGGAGCACTAAAAGCTGACCAGCCTTCTCCATCACCCCCCGAACACGTTCCCGTCTCCCCAGGCAGCTGCCGCAGCCCCAGGGCGGCCCCGCCGTGCGGGACAGGCGCGTTCCCACCGGGACATTTCCCACACGGAATTCCCGAGGCGATTCGAAACCTGCCAAGGCATTTAGCAGACACTTTGCCAACTTGAAGAAAACTCTGCCGGTTCTCGGGGGGGGGGGTGACGGCCTCGTGCCAAATTGTCACCACTCCCCTCCCTCTCCCCCAGTGCTTCTTGTAAGAGCTGCACAATAAGTGATTACAGGAATTTCATTCCAAGAGAATACTCTTCCACACTCAAGAGAGCCCCCAATTGTTTTCAGATTTTCTTTTTTTTTTTTTTTTAATTTCACTTCAGGCAATGTAAAAACCTGATAAATTTCTACATAAAACGTGAAAAGTTCAGCAATCTTAAAAGTGATGAAAGGAATTAGAAGTCTTGTCAGCTTTAACTGAGAAGCTCAATATCAGCCTTTCCAGAATCTGAACAAAGTAGTATGCTGGCTTTTTAAACCTAGTCCCTTCTTTAAAATAACTTCAAAGATCTTTCACAAAATCTTTATTTTCACTTTTAACAGACACATGGGGCACAAGCCATGAAAGCTACCTGCTGCCTGCCACTCTTATTATCTACCTTACACTCTTATTATCTACCTTTTCTGCCTATATCCTACACTGTAACTTCTTAACAGAAGTCTTAACAGAAACCTCAATATTTATTTAGCTGTAATGCTATTGGAAGTTTTGCCTTCACCAAAAAGGTAACAAATATTATTATTCTGTCTTGTCAGTTTAAAGCAGAAAATGAAGCATAACACTGCAGTTTCCAATATTCAGCATTACTTGTTTTAAGTTTCATGTTGAACATTATCGTATCTGGCATTTAAGGTACTATTACAAATATTATTTCTTGTTCCTTTTTTTTTAAGTACTAATACTTCTTGAAGTGGAGAAGTTTTCTCATTTAACTGGACTTGCTGCCTTTCTTTTTTTCTGGAAATTCCCATTATTCTCTCAGAGTAAATGAACAGCCACAACAATACGCCCCAGAGTGTATACAATAAAATCCTTTGGGAAATGAAAGTCTGGTGACAGAAGGAGAAGAAAACAAAAGATCCAGGGAGAATATTACTCCAGCTAAAGCATTTTGAGATAAAAACATGTATTAAATATTGCTGGGTTGGATTTGTGAATCAAGAGAAGAAGCTTGAGTGACAGCAAGGCCTTTTTGCCATCATTTTTCAACCAGCAGCATTCTGGGGTTGGATCCCATTGATCCAGGCTTCCTCCCACACAGAATTTTTGGGATCAAATACAGTCTATAACAATTCAAGACCTACTGATTTAAAAATAAATGCCACTAGTATTTTTCACTAACACTGTTTCCTGAGTTGCTCCCATTAATCCACAGTTCAAGTTTCTTTAACAGAAAAGAAAGCAGAGAATTTAAAATAACCTGAATTATCTCTCAACTGTACATTTATGTTTTAAAGAAGGCTGAAGTCAAGCCTTCACCCAATTTCTAGTGTGCCCATAAAATGGCTGAGGAACACAGTTCCAGAGCCAACTGTCCCTTCTGTGGATTGAATCCAATTTTCAGTAAAAGAGTAAAGAAGTAAAAAAGTAAAAGTGCATCCAAAAGCAGGTATATAAATCTCAGCAGCGTTTAGATCTCTGAAAATAAAAAACTGTGCCAAAAAAAAAGAAAAAAGTGCATGCATTCCCACTAATGATTTCCAAGCATTTTGCTCCAACTTAGGGATTTGTGTGTAGATTTAGTCAGTCTTTTTGCAACTATCACGATACTTAACTATGCAAAAATTAAGGGCTTTATCTCACCTTTAATTCTGTCTGTAATTTGACATTAGGGTTTCTTTTTCTTTCTTTCTAACTTGTGGCTTGAAACTGGGGCACTGTTTTAGAATTCAATCACTCCATGGAAGTGTCATTTTAACGGAGATGAAGGAGCAACACTGACATCCAAGGATTCTGACAAACAGAACTGCATGGGAGTGAGCAATGATTGAGATCTTAATCACTTGTCAGCTGCACATTGTGATGACTTGCATTTTCAACTGATCTGGCTTGAGTAATGAGTGAAATTTCGAGCTAAGTGGTGATTGGCATTCTCTGAATGAATCTTTTCCTCATATTTCATTTTCATGGATGACTGATCACATCCAGTCTATGAAAAACTGACATGTGTTAATTGAGCAGATATGTGACAGGTGATTAGCTCTCCTTTGCTAAAGAGTCTTAGAGCTGTTTAATTGTTTTTAAATTATAAAGTTTTGTCAGCACCGTTGGCCGCCGACTCTCAGATTTGAACTTCAGGATGGGGCTCCAAAGGTGCAAACTAAACCCTACAGTCTTTGATTCCTGACAGCTTTTCTTGGTTACACTCCCTTTTGGGGAGGAAAGGAAGAGATGAAGGACAAAACAACCACCCAGTTGGGAAGAAGAGAGTCTCTCTGAGAGCAAAGATCTCTTCCTTCTTTGAGTATTCTTTTAAGGCAGTCTTTGAAAGTTTCCAAACTACAGACTGAAGGAGGAAGGGCACTACATCTTTGGGGGGAAAAAAGAAAAAAAAAAAATCAAGGAATTCATGGGAAAACTCTACCAGGTGCTTGGCAATCAGCTCAGTCATATGTGTTGATAGCTGAACTTCTCAGTCTGCTGTGCCAGAGCCATCCTGTTACAGCCCTGAGAGCCAAAACCACAGGGAACAGCAGTTCCCACAGCACTGTTCTATGGACACCGAAAGCAGGACACCTCCAGCTGGTTATTCCTGTCGGGTGAGGAGCCTGGAGACCTTGGCAGTAACCTGCAAGGACAGGAGTCTCCAGAAGCCCAGCTTAAGCCGGGACTGCAACAGCTGCAGGACAAAAACAGCTCCCAGAGGGACAGCTGGCAAGAGACTCAGGGCTTTGAAGCTGGAGCCAGAGAGGGACTGAGGCACAAAGGCTGCAGGAGAGGGACAGGCCATGGAATCCTAACCTAAACATGGCTCAGTACCACACAGGGATGCCAAGAGCACATTACATGGCAGCAGCATCACATGTTAAAGTTGCTGGGAACAGGAGTTTTGAGAACTTTTATTTTCTGGGAATAAGAAAGTTTAGATGTTACTTAAAGACCACAACTCACAAGTTTTGGGGCAGCTCTGCCCTCTCTTCTATGTCAGGAAGCTCACCTCTACCTTAAACTGAAGAAAAATAGTGTTTTACCTGCAATTTTTCCTGAGAGAAAACCAGCAGAATCTGCCAATCACATGCTGGCTGGCAGGAGCAGCCACAAAGAACTTTTGGCTATTCAGATAACCTCCTTTTGTTCTCACTCCTCTGTGCTAACTGCTGCCTTTCCAACCCTGCTTCTTTGCCCTTAGCTTCATGCCAGACCTATTTTCTCTTCTGCTCTTCCTTCTCCACTTCTCTCTCACGAAAGCTTTCTTTTCAAGATCACTTTCCATTTAGTTTACCCTTTTCCTATTTCTTGGCTGATTTTTTTTTTTTTTTAGGTATTACCACAACAATAAACACCTTCCTCTTTATCTCAGGGTCAGCAGTTCCAGAAGATCCCATGAGGAATACACCAGACACAGCTGGCTACAGTGGCACTGCTTACTCAGCCAGACTGCAGCTTCTTCCCACACAAACAGAAATTCCTACTTAGTTGTTGTCAGATCAACAGAGAAAAGCAAGGACAAGTTTGGTGCACTTTTAAGGAACTTATGACACTTAGTTCTTTCATTATAAATTGATGATTCTGATAACTAGTAAACATTCTGCAAGTTTTCCCACGTTCTTCAGAATACAGGTTTTAGAGAATTTGATAAATTGTACAATTGCTCTGTCAGTTCCCTTGCTAAATAGCTGCCCTTTCACTGATGAAGATCTCAGATTCCAACTTCAGCAATCAACTGTGATGTGTCCAAGCCAAGGGGCAAAAAAGCAAATAAACTTATCCTTAAGAATCCTTAGATGTGGTACACACAAGATCCACCAGAAAACATGTGCCAGAAAGAATACAGTGTGACAGTTATGGCAAACAACTTAAAAATTCTTGCAACAGTGCGTAGATAATGTGAAGAATAGAGGATTAATTCATTACATCATAAGGATTGAAGTGGGAGGAAGATTCTTTTATCAGACACACACATTTGCAGAAATACAGGCAAGTTTTTGAGGCTGCATGCTGGACAAGTTCTGCTTCATTTACATCCAGAGACTAAACTACTCAATGAATTTTAGAGTGCATTCAGAAAATGAGAAATTGCTTAATTTTGTAGTAATGTATTTGCTAAGAACTCACCTAATTCATTATCTCTTATCCCCATGTATGTTTCAAGAAGCTCATCCACTTTATTAATTGCGTTTTCTTCAACTTCAGTTGGCTTTGTTGAAATAAAGGGAGAAAAAAAACAAAAAGTATTATTATATCCATGCAGATTTCAAAGTAACCAGCAATTTTTCAGTGATTATCCTTACTCCCATCTTGGCCACCTAGACTTACAAAATCTACAAATAAAATTGGTTATTCCACTCTCTTACCCTCTTCTCATAAACCTGAGCCTACCTCCTGCCATCAAAGGCAGGCAGCTCACACATTCAAACTAAACATCTCCTGGCAATACAGATCCTCAAACCCTCATCAGATTTAGGAGAACCCAGAATAAATAACATTTCTTCACCAAACCCTAATCCTGGTTTTACACATATTCATGCCCATGTAATTAGTCTCTCCTAACAACAACCCTTACACTGGTCCCACACACTTTGCAGTGTCAGAAATGGAACCAATTCTTCAACCACCCTCCCTTTTTCTTTCCCCTTTCCCTCTTTGGTCTACTCTACCTTAAATCCATCCAAGTAATCCATGGATTCCAAAACCTAAACTTAGGTTTTACGCTTCCAGGTTCCTCAGCCCCATCCTATCCCTGATAATCTTCAACTTCCTATAAGCATTTCTCCATGCAGAAGGTAGTCTTTGTCCCACAAGCTTTGTTAACATCCAGATTTTTCCTTCCTACCTGGTAACATCCAGATTTTTCCTTCCTACCTGGTGACATCCAGATTTTTCCTTCCTACCTTGGGGAAGAATAAATCAGGTGCCAGATAACTGAACCACTGAGGGGTCCCAAGGTAACCATACCATCTCCTCCACAGTAGCAGAGCCTTTGGTTCTCAGGCGAAGTGTTTCTCTCCCTTTGGAGATTTTTGCCTCTGTCAAAGCTCCACCTTTGGACCTTGGTTCCAGCTTTTCTAAAGATAAAACAAACAACAAAAATAAAACAACACCAAGCAAAACTAAGCATTTGGTACATCAAAATATGATGTATTGGCTTTGGTTATTACATTATCTTCATTGCTTATTCTAATCAAGATGTAGAAGTATGTAAAAATTATAAATTAACTATATTCTAAGTGTTGCTTTGCTGACAGTTTCTGGTCTTCAAACTCCAATATCTGCTCGACCTCACTGAAGCCAGGACTTCCACTGACCAATGTATCTAAGCAGGCCTATGGCATGCACTTCAATAAGTGCACCTTGTGTAATTTTATTTCCCTGTTCTACAGAAAACTGTGTTTATTCCTTAATATTAGATAACAGCTGCAAGTCACCAGCCAACTGCTGATTTATTCTGGTCTTTACATGGCAGGTTTAGCATTGCAACATTCCCATCTTTCAGTGCTGCAGTGGTGCAAACACCCCCACAAGGCAGGTCATGATGAGCCACGCTGAGCTGAGCTGAGCTGAGCTAACAATTTGATTCCCAGCAGTCACACAGGGGAAACCAACAGGAATTCAGCACCTGCTTGTCCAGCAGGACCTGGCAATCCTGCGACTCCTGTTCCTCATCTCTGGGGCTATTCTCAGCAGCTGCAGCTTAAACACTATCTTGAATAAATTTGTGCCTAAAGCCCAACTGCATCTCAGGCTGGAGGCAGGATGTTCTAACCTACTGCAACGTGCAAATTGATTTATGTAGGGTAAAAAGGTGACATGCACCTTCCAAAAATCTGCCCACAAAGCTCTGATTGCCTCTTAATTCAATGTCAGATCAAAGGTATTGCCATGAAATTAGCAGGTCTCCTTCTCTACATCACAGGCAGACTAAAAGGTATCCTAATCACCTGATTGAAGTAAATACTATTAAATAATGGCTGAAGTCATCAATCAAATGCTGATTTACCCTGGCCTTTACAAACAGGCTGTGGAACACTTTCAGCATTGAATACAAATTACAGGCTCATATTAAAAAAGGGTATTGCTGTGTTATTAATTGCAATAGAATACATATGTAATACTACTTTAGCATAATGTATAACATACACATTTAAAGTTGATACAGGAGTATCAGCTGATATCCAAACACATTAGAGATAAACTCAGAACCCCCATTCTTCACAGAAGCACCAGAAGCAGAAAGAAATCATTGCATTTCTCACATTTTCAATTTCTGCTGCTATTCTGACACCAAGTGTCAAGACTGGTGTATGACATTAGCTGTAAAATATTAACACATAAAAGAAGATTTGAAAAATAAACATTTAAAACTTTGGCTGCTGTAGGGAAGATGGTGATTTTGAATTTCCCATTATTGCAGCTGCGCAAAAGGCCTCATACAAACTTATGATTTAGCACTATTTTGAAGTTCTTATTACAGGAAAACGGTAGAAAATTTGAGGGGATATAAAAAACCTGAGATGATAAAAATGACAACTCGATCTCTGTTTTGATTCCCTGAGTTAAATATACCGGGGTTTTTTTGTTTGCTTATTTGAATTAATTATTAATTGCTTATAGAATTAATATACATAAGAATTCACAGTAGATATGCATTCCTCTTATATTTAAGTATAACATGCAGGTGGCAAGTAGAGACAGAGCTTTGCCATGTTGCTTCCTTCCAGTTCTGAGTATTCCTGCTGTATGATTAGAGATCCACAAAACAGTTGGGGAGAGGGAGAACAGACAGGCAGAGAGGCAGCAGAGGAGGTGCTCTGGGGAATCTCAGTGTTTTCTGCAGCCTGGAAAATTCTGACACACAGATCAACAGGGAATATGTATCAATAGAGGAAAAGAGGAGTTTTGAGGGTCAGCACATTAGTGAAGTGATCCACACTTTAAAAACGTATCTGTGACACAATTCCTGCACTTATTTTGCAGCATCATGCAGTGGCAAAAGAGACTGAGACTAAACCCTCCCGAGGATGACTGCTGGAGAAAGCAAGGTGGAAGAAGATCCATTCATAAATTTTCCACTTCAAAGAAAAAAAATTCATGCGCAGCTAAAAAAATAACGTGGCAGCCACGGTACCTTAGGGGCACATTCTGAAAACAAACTTACAGTGCAGTGCAATGTGGGATTTTGCTATCCAGTGAACAAGGGCACTCACCAAATGCTTTCAAAGGCTCTATCAACTCCAGCTTGAACATCTGACCTTTCTCCAGATCTTTCAGCATTTTGGCGACCTCATAATGCCGACAGTCCGACACGTTTCTGCCATTTATAGTCTCTATGTGGTCACCCACGCAGACAGTTCTGGTTTGGTCCATAAGGCTGCCTTCTTTGATTTTCTAGGATTTAAAAAGAAAAACAAAACAGAATTAGGAACGTTCCTTTAAAAGGTGACACCTTTTCAGAGGTGACGCCACAGAGTTTCGAGAACGTCAGTGAACAACATCAGTAGCACTGAGCTTGTTATTCCAGCAGTGTGATTGGTCTGTAAGATTTTCATAAAACGTATTTTGAAAAGCATTATTTTTCAAACTAAGTATTTTAATAAGCATTGAATAAAAATATCAGCAGGAAAAAAATAATGCAACTATTCTTTAGAAATTAAGGGTTCTGAATAAGCTAATATTTTTTATGCTTTAAAACTGAACACAGGACATGTCACTAATGTGAATGTTTAATCAATTTTTGGGGGGTTATTTTGATTTAATAGCTTGACAAGCATAGGAACACAATTTTTCTCTTATCAGGTATAGTCCAGGGACATGAAATAGGTGTGTTGTATAGTAAAAACTACATACTATAAAAGGGTCAATCTCAATAAGATCCACTTCTAGTGATAAAACTGCCATTTTCCCCATCAAGCTATACAGCTGTATCTCAAAGGATTTCCTCTGAAATAATAAAGAACAAGAAAATCTTCTAAATGCCACCTCATGGAAAACACACACGGTCTAAAGGTCGTAACAGAAGTCAGCATTTATAGGTTTTGTGAAGTGGAACGTAAAAAGTGAGGGGGAAAAAAACCCTTTAAAATAATTTATCACACTTAAAATTTCAGTGATTGTTTACTGTTGTTACGTACTTGTTATGTATTTGTTCCTCATGTGCATACATCACATAAGCCGTCGTTCTTTGGCTATTTAAGAGAAAAGCTGTGACACAGTAGAATATCTTATATTTAGCAGAGATACGAATTCCATTTGAATGTGTTCCTGAATAACAATCTTTTCAACAAAGCCTGACGTTGTTCAGGCTGAGTTTGACTGAGGTAACAGGGAGACAAAGCACACAAACATATTGCCACCTACTGCAGTGACACCCGGCCCAGCTGCACAACCATCCCCAAACCTGCTCCCGCTCCGCGCGCGCGTGTGTGAGCCCACACATGTGCCTCCATCTGAGAGGCAGTGGGAAGTGTGAGAGCACTGCTAGAATGCACTGCCACAGTTTGAAGCTTCAGGATGAGTTTAACTCTTTCCAGCACTTTTTTCTTTAATCTAGATCAAAACCAAACTTGTGCGCTGTAAACCACCTGCGACTCCTGGAACGCTTCCGCCAGCGCTGCCTCCGTTCAATCCTAAACATCCCCTGGTCAGATGATGTGACCAACACATCTGTTCTAGAGCAAGCAGCAGTCACAAGCATCGAGGCCATGTTGATGAGAACACAGCTGTGCTGGGCAGGGCACGTCTCAAGGATGAAGGACCAACCACCCCCTCCCTAAGATCTTGCTCTATGGTGAACTTGCCACAGAAGAGAAGATACAAGGACTCCCTGAAACAACATCTCAGCCTTGGCCAGATTGATCAACAGAACTGGTCTACTCTGGCCTCTAACCGGGAGGTCTGCAGACACCCCATCTATAACTCTGCTGATGCCTTTGAGAACGCAGCAGGATCACTCTGGAGGAGAAAAGACAACACAGAAAGAATCGTGTCTTGCAGAATTTCCCACCTAAGGAGTCTTTCTGCTGTGCCTTTTGCAACCAGACATGTCTGTCTCATACTGGCCTTTTTAGCCACCAGCGTGTTTGTAACAAACGTGGGTAGAGCCCTTCCCAAATCTTGGTTTGTGAAGCCCAGCCATGATGATGATGAGATCAAAACCAAGTAGAAGCCTCGTGGTGAATGAAGAGGTGGGTGTTGCACACACGCCAGAAACCAGGCACCAAATGCATTTCTTATCACCAGGATTCAAAAGAGTGCCCCCCAGACTTCAGTTAATGTTTGGTCTACGTGTTGAACTCCTATTCATTTAGTTGCTCTTCTTTCCTTGGATCCCAACAATAAAACTGTTTCAGCAATATTCACTGGCTGTTATTTGTGTCATATCAAACATTTTTTCCCTATGACTTAGTTTTTATCATCACTCCAAGTGATCTGAGACAGCAGAGCAGCATTGTCACAGCAGTTAAGGTGCAACTGCTAGGCCTGTATTTCAAGTGCTCTACAAGTCCAGTGAAAAGCTGTGAGGATCTACATTTCCTGTGTAATGTCTATTCCTTTTGATAATGTCTCCTTATACACCTCTCAGCCACACTTCAAGTTCTTCTGCTATTCTTTGAATGCTAATTTGATTCCACAATACTTCTTCCCATCTGGCCATGTACCCCAAAACCAAATTTGTGAAAAGAGAATGACACCAAGTTTTGTTCTTGGCATGGCAAAATAACATTAGATTTCACAGGAAAAGAACCTGCAGTTCAGAGTGTCAGATTTGAAACTGGCTGGGTTATATCTCAGATGTAGAAAGCACCCCGTTGTTCAAAATGCAATAAAATTACTACAGCCCATAACAACTTTCAACAACCCACCAATCAGTAAACTTAATATTAATTTTTAAGTAAGACTGGAACATAGTAAGTTTTCAAGGAAAATATATGTATATAAACAAAAACAATTCTATCAAACTTTAGAGTAGAAACAGCTTAGTCTCTGCTTAGTCATTCACCTAGACAACCAAGTATAACAAAGATACAGCTTTGACTTTTGCATATGTGTTTCCTATGCTGCTTTTAAAGATCCATTCTCTACTTGTGCAACAACAAAGTTCCTGGAAACTTCCTAAAATTGATGCATTTCCATGAAGACCACACCATTTTCATGACAATGCTTATTATTAAACCAGTACGAGGAAAATCGTGTTTGTTCAGAGAAGTTTTACCCGATTCACTGGAAATCACAGCTTGCCTTGCTAATGTGGTGAGGGTTTTCCAGTCTGCTCCAATTATGCAGTATTCTGTGTGCTGGCTGCTCTCTCCCTGTGTTACCAACCAAGCACAGAGAGGGTTTCACTGCACAGTGTTGCACACGTGAATGCTGAGCACCGAAGCACTGCTGTCGATGCCTCCTTTTAAAATGCCACATAAGCAGCAGCACGACTGAATGGTATGGGCTGCGTGGATGCCGTCACCAGAAATGCACACTTCTGTGTCTTTAAACATAAAAAACGAGGCTGTGGTTTTGCCAAAATGCTCACTGAAACCTCCACTGCAACTTGACTTTCTCAAACGCGATCAATTTTTTCCACCACGACGACGAGCGAAGTGATTTCTAAATCGTGTCTTGTTTTATATCCACAGCAGCGAAGGAATGAACAGAAAATACAAGCTCTCCTCACAAGAAGCTCTGTTTACAACAGCAAAGAGAACAGCAATTGGGGCAGCAGTGACCGAAGATAATTGCCAATGCCTCGCTAATAGTGGATAATTGGAGTAGATTAGAGCAAAGAATCTAAAAAAGGCAGAAAATGTGATTAAGGTTCCTAACACCTAGTCTAACAAGAAGGGTAGCATCATTTCCTCAGCCTCTACTTGCCTCAAAACATACTATCTGTAGGTCCTCCAGAAGAGGAGAAGGGAAGCAATTATGATTAACATGTTGTGCATGTTACTGCCCATAGTTGCTACTCAAGTTAATTGTGGTAAATTGTGTTAATTCATATCCTTTTAATTCACACTACCTAAGGCAACAATACTGGAAAGCTGAAAAAGCACTATACTTGCCCCTATTCTAGTACAGCACAAAGGCTCCTGCCCTGTGAACAGGCAAAGACTGAAAGAACATGATCTCATTATCACATGAGCGTTCTATAAGCACCTAATCAATGACATCAGGAAATCACTTTAAAATAGGAGGGGGCAGATGCAAGCAGGATCTAACACCCACCACCTCAGGGTAGGTCGGGAAACACAATGGTCACATTGTAAAGCTGATACACATTACAGAAGCAATGAACAAAGGAACTAATTTTGAATGACATGCTGCACAGAAATAGCTGAGCTAATCTTGAATGATGTACCTAAAGAAAAGCAACTTTATCCTTTACTTACCATATTTATGATAATAAAAGATTTCATAGTCCTGAAGGATCATTAAACCAATAATCACCCTTTTATAGTAACAGAAGCTTCTACAGAACAAAGTATTTCACTGGTAATTCAGCTTACCTTTATAAATGCACAGCCAGTCCCATTGTCTGTAATAGTAAGTCCCAGCAAATCCTCAGTTTTAAGAATTTCCACTTCTTTTCGTTGTCCCTTCACGTGGGCAAATATGAAATCTTCAAGGCCAATTTGTGCACCTAAGAGCTTGTCCATGTCAACTTTATAAGTGTTCAAAGTGCAAAACATGATCTGTGTGGGAGGAAAGCAAACACATTAACAGCATATTAGGTTTGATGAGCTTGATAGGAAGATAAAATGAGAGCATGGTGCTGGCCTCTGACAGATCCACAGGTGAAAGGAGGATATCTGTCCTTCTCCAGCTGTCCCAGGAGAGGTGACAGCCTCCACACATGACATGACAGAATCCACAGGATTCAAAGATCACTAGGGACTACTTAAAACACAATTGATTAAAAGCAGTTTAATGGGGGAAAAAAAGAGCTTATCAAAACCAAACAGTCATGAGAGAGCATGAAATGTTTTGTATTGCTCCATGTGTTCCCCCATGAGCTCAGAGCACATTGCCTTCAATGGGTTTCCTTAGTTCCTACCCTCCCTCCAGCATGACTTGGGGTCATCCCTGTCCCAGCTTAGTAAAAGCAAGGCTTAATAAAAAGGGCAAATTTCTTCTTTATGAATCAGCTTCTCTGAGGGATTCTTTTTCTCCCTACATTTATGGTAGTTCTTCAACAGGGAGGCTGATTGTCCTGGGCACAGGGAGGGTGAGAGCAATCCAGCTGTACTGCTTAGGGAGAGAGATGATGCTTTTGCCCCCCACGGTGCTGCACGAAGGAATTTGGCCATTCCAGGCAGGCTTTGGGCTTTCTGCTCTTATAGGCTGTCCTGAACAACCCAGTCAAAACAGAAAAACCCAAACCCAGCATCCCCCTCGCAGCTCTAGTAACTACACCTGCCCAATGCCTTTCCAAGCTGAAGTGGGGGCCAAGGGATTCCACAGCTCCTCCTGCACAGCAGCCAAACCAGAGGAACTCTGTGCTCCAAGAGAAACCTGGAGAATCCCTAAAACCTACTTGACCAAGGCAAAGAGTACCCCCAAAGATCATCTTTTACATGCAACTGGAAGCAGAGGAAGAGGAGGAGACTTGCCACTCCGTTTGTCCCTCCAGCACGGGTGGCAAAGGCACAGCAGCAAACCATCCCACAGAGGCTCTGCTGCCAGCAACGTGCACACGGATCTGACAGGACAACAGATAAGGGCAGATACTTTTCCACTCCCTGCCTATATGTGCTGGATGTTATTCTCCTTCAGAGTGCACCTTGGACCCCCCTAGCGCTCCAGCCCCAAATTAGGAAGTGGAAAAAGCAGTGCCAGCACATTAAAAGGAGTACACAGTGGGAAGCCAGCCTAGCATTCAAGAAAAACAGCAGCAGGATGTCACCCCGTGTCCTTCATCTGTGCCACCACTCAGGTGGCAGGCCCTGGAGAGCAGTCAGCTGCCCAAAAAACCAGGCACAGAGCTGGGCCTGTGGCCTGCTGAACCCTGCCGGGCTTTGCCGGAGAGGGAGGGTCTCTTGCCTTCCCAGCTTCCCTCACTATCCTCATAAAACATACAGGTTTTCCCACACTAGAACACTTCAAATGCCTTTTCTTTCTTTCTGGCATCCCCTGGAGGACAGCAGAAAAATGTTTCTGGAGGGAGGTCTTGCTTAGTTCGTTTTTAAAAACAAAATAAACAAAAAACCCCCCACCAAACAGCCTGGCTTCAAAGGCTACTTGCTTATCTCACCTAATCCATCCACTGCAATCTAACACCTTATTTAACAATGAAAGTTGTAACAGCACACCCCTAACACACATTAGTTTTATTTGCTTAGGTAATGCAATGTTTTTCAGTCAAACAACAGTGAAGCAGTAATAACACCTAGAGAACTTAACCTAGTTTTAAGTAGGAAGTTGCATTCTATTTTGTAAATAAGAATAATCTCTAAGCATAAGCTTTTTTTTTAAAAAAGAATTCAATTCGAACAGATAACATCAAGTTCACACACGCATCTTCTCTCTCAAGCTACATAACTTTGCCAGTTTAAAACGGCAACTCAGTTCTTTGTTCATTGTTCTCACAATGAACAACAAGCAGTCTTTACATTTTAGACATTAGCATCCTTCATCTGACCTTGTCAAACAGACAATCATCTAGTAAATACTGTCACACCTTTGAATAGATAAAATTGGCAACAGAGCGGAAATGTGATATTTAGAAACTCGATCCAGAGCTTCTCTTTTTAGACTTTCATCTGGATGGCATTCCTACTACAGCCTATAAGTCTGCAGAATTTTTTGTGAGTCAGTTCTGTGCTAACCACAAGGCTGAGAGAGCATCAGCCGGTCAAAAATAAAACTTAAATCATTCTTCATCCTCTTTAGTGAACAACTGCTTTTTCTTAGAACAAATACATGCAAAGAGTAATGTACTAAAGATGTATCTCTCCAGGATAATACACCATTACACCATCTACCAGTTACAGCACAGCTTTATTCGTACACAACTGAGACCTGCGAATTCAAAAATTATATTTTTGGTGGGTTTTACATAAGTTTAATACTGGTACCTAATAACAGATTATATACTTAAATACTTAAATAACAGCTTCCACTCACTCCAATTTTGGTACAATTTAACAGTAATTTTCTCATCCAAAAATGATGCAAGAAAAAATTCAATGTGCAATTTTCATTGTTAAGTCTTTCCTCTCCTTACCCTAAACCTTCATATGCATTTGATCTTTAACTCAGCATACCAGTGCTGTGATATTTCATGCCAACTTTAGCAAGATATTATAAATCAGAACTGTTACATCAATGCCAGAGTATCTAGGATACCTCCTTCACCCAGAGTTATCTTGTGCAGCACACAGAACAAGGAAATTCCATTCAGTGACAGGATCTGGGGGCTTGTGCACAACCTTATAAAATAGATTATAAAATGGATTATTTCCTGCATCAGTATTTTCAATTGGAAGAGACCACATTAGCCAGTAAAAAACAGGGTTGCACTGTGTGTTATATAAAGAAACTGTATTAGCTCAGAGGGTTACATGATGTGTTATATAAAGTATATATGCAGCACCATACTGCATATCCTATATATTTATTATGTTCTCATCTTCCCTATTAAGCCTACACCTTGAGATCTCAGATAGCTTTACAGAGGAGATCATAATCTCCTTCTCTGTTTAAGAGGTAGGGAAATGGGAAATCTAATTCTGAGCAAGATGTGACACCCACTGACACCAACTCCTCCAAGTTCTACTGTGCTTTTGGTACTGCATCAGGTCTGCAACTTTGCCTCCCCAAATACATTCAAAAGTTTTATAAAATAACCATTCGCTTTGGGGTTTTTTTAAACCCAGAGCACACATATATGAGTTCTTCTATACCATTATTTCCATACTCGTATTTCAAATACTTTCAATTAAACTATTTGAAAAAGACACCATTAACACAGCAAGCATCACGCCTAATACATTTAAGTGACATTTAAGCACTGCTTAGGGAAACAGCAAGCAAACAATTGCTGCCATAGGGCTGGGAGGAGGTGGTTTGTAGGGAGTGTTTGCTCACAGAAGCATTCAATCTGTAGGCGAGATTGTGAGCACAATTTGTTTCAACGGATAAGCAGATACAATAAAACTTCCAACACTGTGGTGATGAGGATGAAGATTTCACAAGCTGACCCTTTTCTCTAAAACACACTTTAGATTTAGAAGGGCAGTTTTGTTCAGAAACCTAAGTTTCAGCAGTGGCTTGTTGGTTGGTCAGCAGTCTTCCATAAAAGTTTAAATTGAACAGGTTTAAATCAAACACTTCTAAGAAAGTTGAATGTGGCACAGCCTCACAGTGTACTGTTCAGCATGAGGAGGCAAGGCCTGTGGAACAACAGCCCACACATAAGCTCAGGAGCTGACTCTTATTATTGGAAGAGACAGAGGGAGCTGCATTTCTGCCCTTAGGGCTGCCAGAAAGGGCTCTCTTTTCCTGTATTCCCCTCGTGAAGCAAAATTCCAGCTACTGTGAAAGAAACCCCAACCTCCACTGGCTCTTGAGAGACACACCCACTGAGCATTCAGCTCACCTCAGCAGCCCCACCACACTTCACCTTTCCAAGCACCCAAAATCATCAGAAGCACCAATTAGGAGTACACAGCCCAAAAATCCATATAGCTCCTGTGGTTTACCATTCCCTCCTCATCTGATCAAGAAACAGCCTTGCTACAGCTGCACTTTGATATCCACGTTCTCAGTGCCTGATTAGCTACTCTGAATGCTTTAAAGCCCTACCATGTGCTCTCACAGGAGCACACCACCACCAAATGCTTTAACAGACCCACATTGTCCTTCAGTCAGTGCTGATTATTTATCATACAGGTTGCACTTAGCACTTTCACCCTTACAGGGAACATAACATTCCCTGTTACATTTCCCAATAGTCACAGTGGAGGGGTAATCCTAAATGGCCAAGACTACAGATAAATACTTTTTCCAACTCCTTTTCCTACTTCATCCTCCATAGAAAAAATAGAGGGAGATACTTCTATTACTCGTGCAAACAGAAACACACATGTGTAGTTAGTTAAGAATTGCATCTATCCATATATTTTTTTAGATCTGTGCTTGCTTGTTGAAAGCCTGTTGAAGCAATTAAGTTAAAAGACAGGAACAATGTGATCTACCTCGAACAGCACTCATACTAATGATGGAGGTAATCCATTGCTAGAAACCACGTCCACTCCTCCTCCTCCCTGTGGAAAGAACATTAACACTGCACCAGGAAAAGAAGAAATGCTGGTCATAGCAAAAGACAGAGAGGCAGGCAGAAAGGCAGGCTAAACATCAGATTCAAGAGGGATAAGTGAGATATATTCGCCTAGGAAGGTGGATGAAGAATAAAATACCTAGACAAGAAAGGATGAGTAGCAGCTCAGAAAGCTGCTGTTATGTCTCACTCCTCCATAGACACCCAGCAAACACCACAGGAGTGAAGGAGCAACCCCTTTGAAGCATCTCCTGTCTTGCCCTGTCCCCATCTGACCCTGCCCAGGATCCAGGTCTGCACAGAAGTTTCTGTCAGTGTCTGTGCAACAAAAACCGTGTTTTATATAAACTCTCTGTCACCGTTGGCAGTCAGTCACAGAACCTGGAAAGGATTCTCCAGCAGAAGCTGAACTCAGCTGGTCCTGTGAGATGTGATCCAAAGAGGGAATGAGGTGCTGTAACCACGCAAAGTCAAAAGGAAAAGTGACAGATTACAAGTGTAGCTCATTCTCAATCTTATTAAAACGCTCAGGCAGGAATTTATCCAAAAATGCACACCCTTGCCTACACTCCACTGAACTCACAGATCATATTAAATGTATTCACTTCTGCAAAAGTTCTCTGAACAGTCTCCACACCGGTCTCTGCCCCTCCCTTCCCCCTCACTCTTTTCCACCTCAGTCACTCCCAGGCAGAGATCCCTGTGATAGTGCCTGTTTCCAAAGGCACTCCCAGGCAGAGATCCCTGTGATAGTGCCTGTTTCCAAAGGCAGTGGGGTGGGCACTGCCCACAGGCTCCAGCACAGCGAGGTCACAGAACCTGCCCTGCACAGGGACCACCTACAAACAGCATCTGAGCACCTCAGTGTCTGTCAGCTTGATGAGATGTAGCTTCTGGCATTATTCTTTACACCAGACTACCTGTCCAAAAGAAGCTTTACCTAACAGAAAATACCATTTAAAATAAATTCTAATAAATTCAGACTCCATGGCAGTTCTTGCTGTTCACTGATCTATTCTGGCCCTCTGGCCTAGGTTCTTCACTCTGCTGAGCCACCTTCACAACAGGAAATATTTTTGATCATGATTTGCATCTCGTACAACTTAGTTTCTTAAAGCCAGCTGAATTTACAGAATGAAAGATTTAAAGTTCAGTGCCTCCAGAAATAACTGTCCATCAATTTCTACCAGCAACCACATTAAAACAAAATAAAACAAACAAACAAACCACAACAGAAAGACCCAAAAAGCCACACATAGCAATGGAACAGCAGAGAGGAAAAAGAAATAAGAAACTTCTCTAGTTTGGCACAAGGCTGGCAATACATGCCCATGAAACATGTGGTGCTTCCTCTAAAACCTTTGAGGGTGTCAGATTATACATTTAGCAGGAGAAACAGGAGAGCACCATTCATACAAAATTAAGTTTCCTTGTGAATGAACACTGTTCTTTCTCCAGTCAGTGGAGCCGAAATTTCAACAGTGAAAGGAAGAAAACTAAAATAGAAGACAATCTGGCAATTAGGAGAACTGGAGAGTAAAAGGTCTGAGATGGAACAGAACAAAAGGGGAACAGCAGCTCAGTATGGAAAGAAAACAAAGCAGCGGAAGGTCAGAAAGCAGCTGGGAGGATCTGGAAAATAGGTGCATTGCCTGGCAATGGCACTGGTACCTCTTAATTACTTAATGCAACAGCGACTGGTTAAACTGTACCCACCGCCACTGCCACTTTTCCTTTACAATGTACTGTTTGAAATGCTGCTACCTCAGGCCACAGCAAACTCTCAGAACTTGACAACTTTTAAAAATGCCAGTAACAAAGAAGGGAACAAGTAAAGCTGTACAGCCACACGTAGGCGTAATGAAATGTTAGCACTTTGTTTCAGTTTCCCACTCAGAGGTCAAGGTTCACAGAACCACGTAGGAAGAACTTGATAGGGCCACTACCTTTTAACTAAGAGAAAACAATGCATTTACAAATACAAATGAATCATTATCCAAACAAATGTTTAGAACGTGGCTCAGGAAAAAAAAAAAAAAAAAAAAAAAAAAAAAAAAAAAAAAAAAAAAGAAAAAAAAGATCAAAAAGGCAGCAGCGTTAAAAAAAAAAAGAGTTTGTTACAGACTCAAATAAAGGTTGGACTTGACGATCTCAGAAGTCTTTTCCAACCTGACTGATTCTATTAAAAATAATTACCTGATAATTATATACCTGATAAAGCAGAAAACTTTCCAAACATCACACCGCAGACCTCTCGGTCAGGAGGACCGCTGCTGTTTCCGTCCGTGTCTTTCCCCGAGCGGTAACTCGGAGCAGCAAAGGGAACGTCTTTCCTCGCAGAAGAGGCGCAGCAGCCGAAGCTGCCCGCGGGGGCGGCCGTACCTGCGCGGGGTCGATGCCGAAGGCCTGGCCGATGCTGCCGTACAGCTCGCGGGCGCTGCCGAAGCCCTCCACGCGGCCCGTGGGGCTGCCGTGCGCCAGCTGCGTGTGGAAATGCAGCCGCGACGGGGACGGGGCCGCCGCGGGGGACGGGGCCGGGGCCGGAGCCGCCGCCGGGGACGGGGCCGGGGCCGGAGCCGCCGCCTCGCTCTCCACCAGCTTGAAGGTCTCCTTGGACTTGTCCTTCTTCTTCTTGCTCCGCAGCCCCAGCGGCATCTTCCACGCTCCGGCCGCTGCCGCCCGCGCTGGACTCTGCCCCCGGCGCGGCACCGCCCCGGCCCGCGGCCATCGCGGCCGCCAGGTGCGGCCCCGCCCCGACACACAGCCGGCCCGCGGAGCCCGGCCGACCCTCAGGGTGAGCCCCGGGCCGAGCCCTCCTGGCCGAGCACCAGGCTGAGCCTTCCCCGCCCAGCACCGCAACAGCTGCGGCCGCGGAGCCCGCCCGAGCCTCAGGGTGAGCCCCGGGCCGAGCCCTCCTGGCCGAGCACCAGGCCGAGCCCTCCCCGCCCGGCCCCGCAACACCCCCGGCCCGCGGCCGCAGAGCCCGCCCGACCCTCAGGGTGAGCCCCGCGCCGAGCCCTGCCCGCGTCCCGACCCTGCGGCCTCAGCGGGGGCGTTCGCCACCTTCCCCCTCGCTAGTTCAGGAAATAGCGAAGATGTTCACCTGACAGGAGACAGCTGTGCTCCAAACTACACTCACCTCAGTGGAATGGCCCTGTTTTCACTGGAGTACTCACTAGTTCAGGAATTAGCCAAGTACTAAGTATTTACTAGTATTTACTAGGTTTATATCCAGAATATAAAAGAAACCATGTATTATAAGGACTTCAGCCAACCCCTGCTTATTTACCACAGCTGTACACAGAATATCTATGAATCTTTAAGGGCTAATAAAGCAACAGCCATATAAGCAAAGTTTAGGAGCCTTCTTATTTCCAGCTTTGACACACCAGGAATTAACGCAGAAATATTGGAAAAGTGTAACATCTAATAAATTTGAAATGTTTCCTTTGCTACCATGGAATAGAGGAACGTATTGTTCAGTTAGATGTTCACATCACAGGAGACAGCTGTGCTCCAAACTACACTCACCTCAGTGCAATTGTTTTCACTGGAGTACTGAATCCACTGCAGATGTGAAGAGTGCAAATTTCATGAGGTGACATCCAGCACCTCTAAAGGAATCGGCTATGAAGCTGCAGAGAGAAGCAGCACTGCCTTACCACATCATCTTTCAGAATAAAAAAGACAAACCACTGCAGAGAAAAAGGATTCTGGCACATGGAGTCAGACCGGGCAGGCACAGAGAATGAATTACTATGAGGCAACCCAGAGTCAAAAGTTCTGACCAGATCTAATCAGAGAGTACTTAGAGCATAAAAATTTAGTCTTGGTTTTGGAAAGAAAAATAAACCATGTACTAAAAAAAAAAAAAAAAGAATCAAAAAGTCACGTTACTGGACATGAAATGCCACTATCAGCACATAAAGACTGTTTCACTATACATGATGTATCTATCTGGTGGGGTTTGGAGTTTTTTGAATGTAAGGCAGCAGGGCTGTGAACATGGTAATTTGCCCTCGATAAAGCAATCAGGCTTGACTAACAAGATTGCTGTTGCAGAGCTCCTCCCTTGGGGAAGCCAGTAATTCCAGGGAAACAAAACAAGCACGGGGCACTTATACCTTCTATGCCCAAGGGGATCAACAGTAGATCTCTACTTTCACTCCTTAAATAATAGAACAATTAACTAGAGAAGCCTGAAGGAAACAAATCATGCCATCTAAAAGTCCATTGCCGAGCAATTTGACAAATGAAGAGCTGAGATTCTGTACTTCCTGAGGAGATCAGTGTTGCTGTTTGCCCAGTTTGTGTGCCAAACAGTGAGAGACCTTGTGATGAATAGCCTGGTTCTATAGGATCTGTTCAGTAAGCAATACAGTAAGAACTATTCAAGTCAGCTGCAAAGGAGGACTAGCATTTAGTGACTGAAAAGGAAAGTTGACTCAATATTTACAGTAGCATGTCCATCTGTTTTTTAGGTGTAGCAGATGAATTCCTGTGCACAGAATTTCACCCTAAGTTATAGAAAATTTCACTGGTAAAATCTGTTTTACCTCTCAAGTATGTTACCAGTGAGTAAGACTAGCACATAAGATGCACATGCTAGAAAGGAACGGAGTAAATTTGTTCAACGAGCCACAAACAGGCTTCAACAAGCTTTCAGCACAGCTAATACATAACTGGCTCGGCAGGAGAGGGGAACACCAGTCCCCTCAGGACATCAGAAACCTGCTGTGGAGCAATCGGAGTTGCACTGCACGGCTGTGGAATGGCTGTAATGGAGCTCTGCCCTACTTTCCAACAGCTTGAGGTTACCCTAAAGACTGATGGTGGGGAGATTAAAAAAGGATCTTTAGAAGCAGAGCTTTGCATAGCTTTGCTGGATGAACTTCAAAGCAACTAAACGACTTTTACTTTCAATGGCACCTAAGCAGCCTCCAGGAGACCAAAAATCCTCCTCATCCCAACTTCATGAATGACCATTTTATTTCCATGTATTTCAGTAGTTACAAATATAGTAGGTGACTGAGTACTTGCTTCCTTCTCCCAAGTAGCCTTTATTAAATAATCAAGTGGGTTTTAAAACATAGCTTTTAAGCACATTTTTGATTAGAAAAATATTATTTTTTGTGAATCCTGGATTAGATAAGATATTAATGCTTCCTCTCATATTTTGAAGTAGTTCTACATGCTGTTTTCAGAAACATATACTTTGTTAACTCTCCATAAGAAAAGAAATACAAGCATTTATTTCATACCAGTCCTACAAGTTTTATATTTTGAGCTTGAAAACAGTTGGAAAAGTTTAGTTTGCTATACATATATATATATAATCTATATACACCTCTAAATACACAAGATACTGCAATTCTTCAATTTAACACTACTCCTCTTGCCTGAAGATAATTACAAAAAATAGTCCTAGTTGCTGTAACTGTTTGTTTTTTTTTTTTACAAGTTGGACTATCATTACAAGACCCTGGATTACAAAATGCTCGATTCTATTAGCTTTTAAACTGACAAACAGGTATTTTAGGATGATACGCTTTTGAAGTCGTGTAGCTTGTAGCATTTACCATCATAACAAAATATAAGAGAATGTTAAAAACCAACTTTACATTTTTTACTTAAAAACCACATAAGAAATGCAATACGGAACATACTGAAATGGAAATTTTTTGAACAAACAATATATAGTTTTAACAATATGCAGAAGCACTAAGCAGCAATTTTTTTTTTCTTTGTGATACTGCTCCAGCAATTGTTTCCTTCCTGTAGGATTTAGAACTACAACTAACTGATATGACATGGAAAGATCTGCAGTCAAAAAATTGATTTGAACAATATCTCCCAGAAATTCTATTCCTTTGAGTAACAGAAATGGGATTCTTCTTGTGCTCAATAAGCAGTTAATGTAAATTAAATCCCAACTTCCATATGATCTACTTTCCTGCAGAGAATCACATATGTAACACTGCCATTTCTTAAGCTACTTAAGAGAGCAGGTAACTTCTAAATTTCCACAGGCAAAAGGCTGACAGCAAATCTTACATATTTTCTTATGAAAACAACAACAACAACAAAAAAACAACCCCCTTTGAAAGTATTGTTAAAGCACTGTATTATGGTTTTAAACTCAAGTAATAAAGCATGCCCACAAGGCATTTCTTTCACCAACACCATGCCACAATCAAGGGAACCAGCCCTATTACTGTATTATAAAACTAGACTATTACAGAGGGCTCTCCATCTCTCTATGCATCTTTTAAACTATAAAGACAACTAACTCATTTTGTATTCAAAAAAGACTCAGTTCAAGCATATGAAAGTTTATGGGCAACCCCTATCCCACTTTGTGTTTTAAGCAAACTCTCCTTAGGACCTGGGCTCTTCCTTCTTCTTCAAGGGAGTAAAATTTGGCCTCTGAAAATAATGAATGCTTGAGATCAGCGTGACCTTTGAACACCTGCCCAAGCCAAATGCTTTTAGAGGGTCCTTTGTGCAGCTTTCCACTCCAGCACAGACCTGCTCCCCAGGCCCTTGTCACGAGTACCCCCCAGCTTTGGGCCAAGCCTCCTTTGCAGAACATGGCTCAGAGCACCGTCTAGTGAAAAGTGCCAAGTCCAAGTTCACAGAATGATTTAGGAAGCAAGAAACCTCTTGGCATGACGTAGTCCAACACCCCAGGTCGTGCATGGTCAGCTGGAGCAGCTGCCCAGGACCATTTCTGCTCGGGTTATGAGCATCTCCAGGGATGGCAACTCCTCAACCTCTCTGGGCAACCCATTCCAGTGTCTGACCATCCTCTCGGTAGAAAGGTGCTTCCTTGTGTTCAGATGGAATCCCCTGTGTATTAACTGGTGTCCCTTTAGTCCTGTCACTGAGAGCTAATGAGAAGAGCCTGGCTCCTCTATCTTCATTCCCTCACGTCAGGTACCAAGATCTCCTCCAGGCTGAAGAGCTCCAGCTATTTCAGCCTCTCATACATGGTTCTGTGCTAGAGCCACTCCACTAAATTTGTATCTTCCAAGGACTGGGGAGTCCAGTACTCGAGCCGTATCCTCCTCAGGGCTGACAGAGATCATCTCCCTCCATCTGCTAGCAAAGCTCTGGCCTTTGTTACCACAAGGCTGCACTGCTGGCTCACAGTCAGTCTGCTGGTCAGCTGCTCCTCAGGGAGCAAGACTTTGCATTCCCCTTTGCTGAACTTTGTGAGAATCCTCTGTCCAGTTCTCCAGCCTGTTGAGGTCCCTTCGAAAGGCAGTACATCAGCCACTCCTCCCACGTTTTATATGATTTGGAAACTCCATCCCATCATTCAGGTCATTAATGATGCTGAACAGTATTGGCCCCAGTACTGAGCCATAGGGTACACCAGGACTGACTTGTCTCCATCTGGACTTTGTGCCATGGATTACGAGCCCCTGTGCCCACTCATTTGGCCAGCTTTGAAATCCACCTCACTTTCCACTTCATCTAACCTGTACTTTATGAGTCTGCCTGCAGATGTAAAAGGCAAACAACGTGGACTGTTCTGCTGACATCCCCAAAGCTCACTGGGGATGGCAATGAGATTGGTCAAGCAAGATTTCCCAACTGTACATTGATGCTGAATATTCCTGATCACCTTCTGGAAACGCATTCCAGGGGGATTTTTTTCCATCACTTCACCATGGCTTGAGGTGAAGCTGACTAACTTCCTTCTTGT